CTTTCGTAATAGAAAAAAAATAGAGTATAGATGTAATTTCTGGAGAGTAAAGGAAATATAAAAATTTTTATTTACATAAATTATGCACAAACAGCCACACAACCACCCTGACAAACACACCACCTACACTGAAACATGCACTCTTACACCTACATGGAAGCTTGCACACTCACACTCCCAAAACCCCCTGTACATGAGCACACCCAGCCATACATCCCACATACACACCCCTGACTTACACATGCACATACTTTCTACACTTTCTACACACAGTTGAACACCCTGCCTTACACACCCATACACACATAATTTATACACTCCCCACCACACCCATCCACGCACATGCTTTAAAAATCCCCATATATAGGGGCAGCCGTTTGGCTCAGTTAGTTAGAGCATGGTGCTCGTAACACCAAGGTTGTCGGTTCGATTCCCCCATGGGCCAGTGAGCTGAGCTCTCCACAACTAGATTGAAAACAACGACTTGACTTGGAGCTGATGGGTCCTGGAAAAACACACGGTTCCCCAGTAAAGTTTAAAAAAAAAAATTAGCGTGCTGAAAGTTGTGTATATATATTTTAAAAATTCCCATGTACACACTTCACTCATATCCTCATACAGCTAGACACACCCCACACTCATAAATCCCCCCAACAAACCCACATACACATCCCAGTCACACCCTGACACGTAGTCATCATACCCACGAACTCATACATACCTACACATATAGAACCTCACATACATACACACACATGACCACACACACCTCACACACAACCGCATCACACACATGCACTCCACACCTGTGCCCACACCCACACCCTCACAATCACACTGCACAAACACCTCACACACACACATGCACACACACCTTGACATACCTTAACACACAGTCCTACCCCCACATCTACACACACCACACACCCACACACACATTTTTCAGATACCAAAAAGATATGGAAGGCTGTGAAAATGTTCCAGATTAAAGGAAGCTAAAGAGAACTCACAACTTCCTGAAATACCTGACCCTAGGATGGATCCTGTACTGGAGATGAAAAAACATGGTAAAGTACATTATTTTATCAACTGACAAAATTGGAATAGGGCCAACACTCAGGGAAAAAGTGTAGTATCTGTGCAAATTTATAATGTTGATGTCTGCTCTGTAGTTTCTTAAGAGGCTATCCTTATTTTTAAGAAAGACACATGAAATGATTTAAGGGTAAAGAGCCATGAATATATGACTTTCCCTCAAATTGTTGTGAAAAAAAAAAGGTGTGTGTGTATGTGTGTGTTTAGAGAGAGCAAATGATGAGGCAGATGACAAAAAATGTTGATAGTTGACTGGATAAAAGGAATACAGGTGTTCTTTGTAAAATCTTTTCGCAGTTTTTGGTAAATTTGAAGTGATTTCCAAATAAAAAGGTTTTTAAACCATCCAGCCTTTATAATGCTGCTTGAGATTATTGTATATTCAATATGTCTGTTATCTGACTAGTCAGGAAAATCCGTTATTGGGCTGCCATATTTAGTGAGGTCACACCTGGACCTTCTGGTCAGGCAGGAGTGAACGAGACCAGCTCGCTCAACCGACCGCCCCTGGCTCATCAGCCAGGAGCGCACCAAACGGGTCCCTGAGAGGACTGGGTGGGAGACGAGAAATAAAAGAGAAGAGAGACAAAGTGCGGGGACAGGAGGGACTCAGTCTGCTGGTGGCAAAACTGAGACCTCGTTTATTGGGCATACAAGATTCTTAAGGGGAAGCGATTTCCTCATTCTAGGGAGCGATTCCTTAAGCTAAAACTCATGGGCTGAGGAGAAACAATTTCTCCTCAGCAACAAGCTATGTTACACACAATATAAACCAATGATATAGCTAGGCAAGGTTAAACTGAAGCAAATAGAAACTGTCTACAAGCCCACAGTAGAAAGTCCCAAGCATGTGAAGCAGGTCCATGGTGGAAAGTCCCAGAGTGGTGATGTATGTTGAAACTGCAAGTCCATAGTCCATAAGCAACTGAGTCCCTTCGTCCATAAGCTTTTCCTATCAGCAAGCTGGGGTCTTTACTCTTTGCACTTGCGTTGTCTGGAAGCAGTTTAAGGCAGAAGCACCGTCCCACAGGTCCCCACCAAACTGCTCCAAGGCTGCTCACCCCAGGCCTGTATCTACCTGGAGACCCAAGTTTGTCAACCTAAAGCCTCAGTGTCCCTGGCTGGTCCCAGCCAGCTCCCTACACAGGAGGAGGCCCAGGGTTGTAGTGGAGGCTGCCTGGGTTTCAATTCCAACTCTGCCACTTCAGCTTTAAATGACTTCTCTGTGTCTGTAATAGCACAGAACAAGTGCTGTATAAAAGCTTTCAGTTGTACTAACAAAACTTTTATGTTGCTGGAAGAGAGGTGAGGTTTTAATTTTAACAAAATCCCATTCACTAGAAGTGAGATTCAACAGAAATGGTGATGAGAAGCTTGAGTTCCCCAGGGGAACCCCATCTCCTAGCCTGCTGCAAAGACACCAGGGCGGAGAAGCACACAGGGGGGCGGTGCCTCCGTGGCCCCCATTAGCCCTCCTGCTTTCCCTGCAGTACCCATAGATGGCCAGTTGGGGGCAGTCTCTGCAGCGCCAGCAAGTGCCCAACATCCCCAGGCATGTGCCTACCAGGGTGCCTGTGCTGCTCCCAGGAACACCATCTCCCCAGGGCGGACTTATCCAGTGGGCACAACGCCTAGGGACCGTAACAGTCTTAGGAACCCACAAAAGTGTTTTAATTTTTATTTCTTTTAAAATCGGAAGACAAAAATGACTATAATAATATTAAATCCAGCCTGGATTATATTCATCCTTATACCAATACAGTTGTGAAATGTAACTTGTAGTACTTTTTTATGGATGAAGGGGCCCACGAAGGTAAAAGTGCCTGGGGCCCATGAAAGTCACAAGGCAGCCTTGTGTCTCCCCTGCCAACATCCTGCCCTGCTTTGGCTGAGGATGACACAGAGGCAGAGTAACAACCAGGGGAACGGGGGATGTAGGTGGGACTCCAGGAACCAAGGCAGCCCCACCCTGAGGCTGAGGCTAGAGAATCCATGGGGGACAGGGGACAGGAGGACTTTGGGGATCTGATTGTCACAGGCCTCATCTGGTCAGAACAGAGGAAGTCTGGGGGATCCCCCACCCTACCATGCCAGCTGCTGACCTTCTAATGGCCAGATGGGAAAGGGCTAGTGGACAGGGGCCTCTAGACGATGGCCAGTTTACACCCTCAGGAAAGGCTGGTCTGTGCGGATGTATAGCATCTTATTCATCTCATCCTTCTCTGATGGAGACTGCAAACGTCTTCTGTCAGTCTATGCTCCGACAGGTAACCCCTGGCACTGTCCCCGGAGAGTGACCCAAACTATTGTCTCCTTTGAGCCCCTCATCCTCTGTGATTCAAATTCAGCTCCTTTTGAGGTTTTTCACCAACTGTGTCTAACTAAAACATTAGGCCAATCCCTTAAAGTAGCTACATCGTTCTTAATTTATAGATAGAGAAACTGAGGCCCAGAAAGGTCAATTCACCTGCCCAGGGCCACACAGGCAGAAGAGCAATTGTTCTAAAACGTCTAGACTTCTCAGACTGCTCTCTCCTCTGCCCCTTGAGGCTGACCTGGAGTTCCCTGTCCACTCTGGGGAGCCTCCAAACTAACTCTTGAGACCTCAGAGGAGGGGGTCGAGGGCAGGGTCCACAGAGACCTTGCCGATAACAAGCTCAGTCTCCCTCCTTGGTACAGCAGGGGTTGGGGGCACAGGAGAAGCCCCTCCTCATCCACACTCATCGCCTTTCCTCTTCCTTATCTCTTGCTCTCTCCTCCACTCTCTGTGGTTGGCTTCTGTGCCCCCAACCCACTGAGGCTGCCCCCCCCACTAACTTCAGCGGCCTTCACATCTGCACAAACCATGGGAAACCATTCAAAGTCATCTCCCTAGACCTCTTGGCCTCCTGTGGTACTCTGACCACCTTTCTAAATCCTCAGTGCCCCCTTGGCTTATAGGACTGCCCCACACCCAACTCCGCCCCTGCACTGGTACCCTGGAGACCTCTGGCTTCACTCTGCTTGTCTCCACATCCAGGCCCAGCACCCATACCCATCTGGGATGAGTTGCATGGGCTCTGCAGGCTGGGTTCTCTAGATGCAAGGCCTAAGGTGACTTATTGTGGGGTGTTCTCAGGAGGAGGGAGGGTGAGGGAAGCAGGGTTGGGTAGAGGAAAGAGCTGAACAAGGATGTGGGCTACTCGGAGACTAGCTGCAGCCTGACCCCACCCAAAGCACCACTCTTTTAGTCCTGACTTGAGGCAAGAGGCGGGGCTTTTGGGTTCCCTCATCGTTCAGTCACTATCCTCGGGTTTCGGGCTTCCCCTGGAGAAGTTTTGAAGGAAGCTGTGAAGGGGAAGCTGTGAGCCATTAGCAGTTGACACTGGACATTGGAAACAGCTTGGGGATGGGTGCAGCAGCCCAGTGAAGGGGATCTGGGCAGGGCACTAATAGCATCTACTACCCCATGCCCCTCCTAGGGACCAACATCCCGCTAGCACTTCAAAACCAATGTGTTCAAAACTAAACTTGCCATCTTCCCCCACATTCATCTTGTACCTAGACCAGGAATCTGACAAGCCCATGAGCACTCTCTCAGGAAGCACCACCATTGTCCAGCCTTTCAGGGAGTCAACCTGCCTCATCCTCCCTGCAGTGGCTCCATCCCAGTCAGCCCCACACTATGTGAGCCTCTGGGACAACCCTCCTTCCATTCTCCTTTCCGTCCTCACCTCTAGGCCACTGCCCTGGGGGGAGGGGATATGTCCTTGGTAGTCTCCCTCACCATGCACCCCATGTAAACACACACACACACACACACACACACGCACGCACGCACACGCGCGCGCGCGCGCGGAGCTTCCCCAACTTAGTCATGGTAAGTGGGAGAAGGCAAGACAAGTGAAATTGAAACCTGGAGGAAATTGCTTTTACAAAAATTTATTTTTCAGAGTCCAGAAGCCTGAGCCAGGGCAAAGCAGACCCTCAGGATTCTTCCATGGGCTCACGATTTGAAAAAAACCCTTGGATTCTCTGGCCAATTCTCTCAAGCCCTTGGCCAATCTTCCGCCCACCTCTCCGTAAGAGATCACGAAGCCGGCCCAATATGACATTCTGGAGCTGTGCACCGAGAGGAAACAGGTTCCTTGTGGGAGCTGGACCCAGGGTCAAGACCCCCCCCCCAACTAGACACCCCCCTTCCTGGGCCACCCTAGGAGCCTTGGGGCTCCAGTCCACCCTCTGGCTGTGAACTTTGGAGCATGTGGTAAATCCCTATAGCCATAAACAGATGAAGAAACTGAAGCCCAGAGATGGCTACGGGCTCCCAGGGTCACACAGCCCATCACAGCAAAATTGAGACTGGAGCATGGGCTGAAAGCTCAAAACTCTAAGTCAGGGCTCTCAAGCTTCAGCAAGAGTCAGAATCTTCTGGATGGCTTGTTAAATCCAAACTGCTGGGCTCCATGCAGATTCTGACTAGGGACTGAGAATTTGCATTTCTGACAAGTTCCCAGGTGAAGACCACACTTTGAGAACCATTACTCTAAGAGATTGCGGAGCCAGTCCCCGTGGGGTTCAGGTGATGGGAGGAGCCCAGGGTAGAAAGAGCCTTCTCTGCCCTAGATGGTTAACTGATCTATAGGAAGTTCCATGCACTACATCCCATCAGCCCCTCCAACCCAGAAGGGGCCACTCACCTTCTCACAGGTAATGTCAAAGTAGCCATCCTCCTGGTCCAGAGTGACTGTCCCCACACACTGTTTCACCAGCTAAAAAGGGGAGGCTCAAGGTCAAACTGGAACCCCTGAACCACAACCTCCCAACCTCACCCCAGTGTCTGGAAATTGTTCAGCATCTGGGAAGGCACCCGCCAGCACCCCCAGACCCTAGTCCTCAGCCTCACCCCTTTCTCCTTGAAGGCACACTGCTCTGTTGGCCGCCGTGTTGTCTCCAACTGCGGTGTCCTCCTGGGGCACACAGTCTCCTTCACCGTGAAGCTCACAGGCTTTGGGATATTTGGGTTGTCATCCTAGCCAGGGGAGAAAGCAGGGACAGTGGGCTTGGGCTCCTGCTCGCCTTCTCTGATCTGTCTCCCTATCTCCCCCCGCCCCCAACACCACCGAGAAATCAGCTTTTCAACAGCCCCTGCTGTGTGCCTGGCACTGGGCTTGGTGCTGAGGCACAGAGGTGAGGAGAACAGAGCCCATCCTGCCCTCACCAAGCATACAGAGAGCAGGAGGGGACCTCAGACAAGCTCTAAGGAGGCTGAGGGAAATTGGGGCCCTCCTGGAGGAAAGACATTACCACTGGAACCTCAGGGCTGAGCAGAGCTCTTTCCTGCGTGGGAGACAATGGCGAGCAGACGGGGCTTAAAGCAGGGAAGTCACATCCCAGAACCAATGACCCCATTCTTGTCCCTGGAACTCTCAGAAGTCCCTGAAGCCTGAATGGGGGGGTGTGGGGGTCACCTCTCCATACAGTAGTGATTCTAAGGCAGGAAGCTGTTGTGCTGGGAGGGTACACAGCTCTGGGAAGGTTTCCCGGAAGAGGTAGGATCCCACTTAAAGGGAGAAGTGCCTTCCCGACAAGCGGTCCAGCATGAGCAAAAGGAGTGGCAATATGGCCACACCTGATAGAAGCAGGGTCTCCCTCCCCAGCCCCCTTCCCCAACTCACTCCCCCAGGCAGTGGGTCCAGCTCCAGGAGGCGGTAGAGACTAGCTTCTGAGGACCGCTGGTTGAAGCCATCCACAGCACGGAGCACGGCCTCCCTGTAGGTGAGGGCCTGGGCAGTGGCTGGAGGTATGGCCAGGCCCAGTAGCAGTAGCAACAGTGACCACCGCTTCAAGGAGGGGCTGCCGCTCTGGGTCTCCATGGTCCCCAAGTCTGCCTCCTCCCAGCCTTCAGGACCCTCCTTTATGCCCAGCCTGGGCCTGATGCAAAGGCCCAACCAGGTGCCTTCCTGCCCTGCCCATCACTGGCCACCTGCCAGGGTGTGGCCTGGGGCTTGCCTCAGCCCCTGCTGTTGCCTCATGGGGCTTGCTGGGCAGTGGACAAGGTCTGCCTGCTGTGCAAGTGAAGAAACGGTTTCTCCATCTCTCTAGCAACGCCGCGGCCTCTCCTGGGCCCCATCAGGGAGTTTTGGCCAGGGTTGCTCAAGAGAGTTGAGTCCTCCGGGAGAGGAAGGAAGGCAGGCGCCTGTCCTACATCCTTCTACCCACCGTGGCCTCCTCAACAATCAGGGTCATGGAGTGTATTTGCCACTAAATCTCCAGCTCTAGATACTGCCTGGGACCCAGTAGGCACTCAGTGAACATATAATGCGTGAATAATACTAACCATCCTCCATCTAGAGCCTTACCCACCCAGCCAATCCCAAGGGAGACATTTTTTTTTAAGATTTTATTGGGGAATCGGGGGAGGGGGAACAGACAAGTTGCTGTCCTTTTGTTCTTCAGTCTAGTTGTGGAGGACGTCGCTTCATTGGCCCATGTTGGTATTAACATTGCGCTCTTCCCAGGTGAGGCAGATCAGTCGCTGGCCTCTGGACGGCCACTCACAGCGGCTCTTGGCAGCTCATACCGGCTGCCGTCCGCACACGGTGGCTTTTGGCAGCCCACTGCAGCAAGGGCTGCAGCCTATGCCGTCGCCACCGGCAACTCACGGTAGCCCAGCTCCAGGCCGAGCTGTTGTTCACCATCTTAGCTGTAGAGGGCAGTGTAATGGCCCTCATGTGGGATCCAAACAGGGCCCTGCTGCTCAGTGCTGGCGTCCCAAGCCAGCTCTTAACCAACGCGCCACTGGGTTGGCCTCCAAGGGAGACTTTCAAGGCCACACCATCCTGTCCTCTAGACCCAGCCCTCAGCCAGTTTTGATGGGGCTCAGTTCCATCTCTCCTGGATTCTTCCACACTGCTATTCAGTCTGAAAATGTCCCCAGCCCCCATTAGACATGGCCTGTGGCCCTGGCCTCTCCCCAGCCAAACCTGAGGAAGGGTTATCTATAACTACGTTGACCCACTTCTCTCTCTCTCACAATCAAGATCACTGCTGGCTGGCCAGCCCTCACTGGACCCAGTGGCCACTCTCAAGCCTTGTCTTTATCAATCCAGGTGCTGGTGACCCCTCTGTCCTCCTGAAACTGTCCGCACCCTGTTGTCCCCTGAAGCTGCTCTCCTGGTGACTCCTTTTCGGTCTCCTCCAAGGACCCTCCCTGTAATATGGAGGGCTTGCAGAGTGGCATCCTGGGTTGCTTCTCTTTCCAGTCCTCACATCTCTCTTCTCAGAACACCAGTTATCATGGACAGACATCACCTGGCCTGTATCTCTGAGTTCAAGACTCCCATGAATACACCCCCACTGAGTCACCTAGCCTGCTATTTTGGTGAGGTAAAAGCCAGGGAAGCACCCCACCTGCTCCTTCTTCTTCCTGGGGACACTCCCCTCTGACTTCCCCCACCGCCCTGGCCCTGCCTCCTCCCCCTATCTTCTCTCCTCTGACGTGCAGCCATAATCTCCAGACTCTACCTTCTCCAGGCCCCAGGCTCTCCCCAGACCACCCTCCACCCTCCGCAACACTGTCCAGGGGCTCCTTCAAGCTGCCGATTTGGTCAATTCACCCTGGCTTTCAGGAGCTTTCACCCCCTGGACCGGCACCAGGGCCTGGAGTCTTGTTGCTCCCCTAGACCTATCCCGCAGCCCTGCACGCCCCAGGTGTCAGCCTGCTGCACACCCCTAACCACTCGGGCCTCTCTGAGTCTCCTGCTGTTTCTCCCGTCAGCACCTGATGCCCCTGCGCAGCATGCTCGTCACCTTGTGAAGCCTTTCCTGACCTCCAGCCTGACACAGCCACCTCCTCTTCTTTGCTCCCACAGCCTTTAGGAAGGCTCCTCTGATTTGACCCCAAATGACTCCCTGCCCAGTGCTCTCGCTGAGATACTAGGCTGGAGTAGCTGGTGCTGGGACGTGGAGAGAGCACAGCTGGGAGAGATAATAGGCCAAAGTGATAAAGGGGTCCAGAGGCCATGGGGAAAATTCTAGTAGTAGCTGGCCTTTGGAATGGACATATGGTCATGAGCCTGGGAATACCTTGTTGGCCTGTGGGACTCTTTGGGGCTTGGACAGGGCCCCTTGGAAGGTGGCAGCCTGGATAAATGCTGCTGGTTGCACACTCGGTCTTGGGAAAAGGAAGGAGAAATGGGCCTCTGTGCAACCTGGTTTCATAGTCCAGGTATTGCCCCAGGGGCCTCTTGATCAAGTAGAGCTTGCACATCAAGGTCCTTTATAGCGGTTGGGAGGAGGGCCACCCCTAAAATCTCCCCTGGACCCCTCACCTTTTTCTGTTGGCTTCAGGGTCCCCAAGAGCCAAACTGGGAGAGAAGTAGGTATCAGTGTTAGTTCTTAAACTGGGCTTGAGACCTGCCCAGTCCTGCATTCCTCTAGGTCAGATCCAGCACACCCAGAGCCCCTTCCCCACTGGCCGAAGGGGACATTCTACCTCAGCCAACACTGCACACTCCTCCTACTTGGCATCAGCCAGAGCCCAGTAGGCTTCCACAGGTCCTCTGTGTGGATCCAGGGGTGTCGCCTGCCCTCTCTGGGCCACAGCACAGGGGCCAGGCTGCCCGGCTTCCAGAAGTGAGCCCTGTCCAGCACTGGGTACGTGCAGGTGGGAGTCCGCCATGTGAGGCAGGGAGATTGACTCAGACCCTTAGAAGCTATGACTGCCCTGTTTCCTGGGGAGATATGAGGGGAAGCTCGCCCCAGCTTGCCTTTTTCATAATGTCTCATCTCACTGACAAGGTGATCAGAAGATTCTAGGTGATTCTAGATCAGAAAGGAAAGAAAAGAAGAAGTGAAGCTTTTCACATCATGTCTTGAGAGCTGGACTCATCTCATCACGGTGTGGTCTAGGAACCTGGTCCACTGAGGTTGCTGTGGGTTCTGGGGGGCCTTCCACAGATTAGCAGATACTGGAGGCCCCCTCCCCCACTCCAGAATCCCTCCCACACCTGGAACAAGACCCACTTTAGCCGCCTTTCTCTATTTCCTCCCCAGAGCCCTGGAGACTGAAGGTCCCAGTGGCTGCCCTGGTGGAGGCACCCAACCCCTCAGGCCTGCTTGCCCCTGAGGTGACCTTCGTCAGGATGGCCAGCTTGTCTAAAATAAAGGACTTGCAGACAGTTCAGGGAGCACCGCATCCATCCTCAGCCTCTGTCTTTGTGGGCAGGCCACTATTTCTCTCTGTGCCCAGAGTCCGTGGTCACAGGGCTTGGCAGTCAAAGAGCTCAGGCTCCCGCACCCAGCTGCCTGGGCTCTGGGCTCAGCCCTGCCAAGAGCAGCTGTGTGGCCTTGGGCACCTGTGTATCTACTCTGTGCCTTAGTTTTCTCATCTGTAAAACAGGAATGATAATACAATGTCCTGTTTATGAAATGATTGTGAAGGTCAAATGCAGTATGATGTGTGCTCAGTGTTAGTACATTATTAATGTGAGCTCCTGGGTTAACACTTCAGAAGTAAATACAAGACGTAGGGAAATTGGGGCTTCTCAGGCTATCAGCCACCATCTCTCAGGGAATCAGAATCCTCTAAAATGAGGGTTTTGTACAAAGTGGTCCCCAAGGACCCTTTGGACCCTTTGTCCCCATTTTTACAGGATCAACCTAAAACAAACAAGGCTCTAAGGGGGAACTTAGGGGCCAGCTTAAGAAAAATATTTTATTACAGAATCTCAAATCGTATGCTGCAGGGTGGGGGAGGCTCTCAAGTCTAACCACTGTAGGAATCGCCCTACCTTACACTGGATAAGGGGGTATGTAGGCCACGCACCCATGTGACCCTTATAGGACCAGAGGGACACAATCTGATGTAAGACAGCCCAATTTGCTCTTCTGTTCTTTTGCTCTTGGGCATGTTACTTCACCTCCCTGCGCCTCCCTCTGCTATAAAATGGGTCTAGTGAGGTGTGCCTGGAGACCTGTGAGGACTACAGCAACAGTGAACATGCGAGCTGTACTATACCTGTACCTGTACCTGTACCTGTATCTGACACTGCTGCGCATGTGCTCATGAACTACCATACAGACAGCTCAGCCCCTGCAGTGGACCCCAGGTGGACTGCCACCTCTGCAAAGCAGCAAAGGAAAAGTGGTGCCACGGTGTGACCCTGGTGGCATAGGTGGCTCAACCTGCACTGCTGGCAAGTTGCCTCCCCTCCCTGAGCCACAGTCTTCTTGTGCAAAAACTGGGGACAGAAATTCCAACCCTGCGGGACAGCAATACATTGGGTGGAGTCAGATGCACACTCAGGGACAGGATGTGCTTACATCTTGTGGTCAGAAAGGGCGCCAGACTCAGGGTCTGCCCAGACTGGACAATTCTCACTTCTGCCTTTCTTTCACCTGCAAAATTGTACTGCCAGGAGACCTGGAATAGGGGGGTCCGAAGCATCATTGTTTACTAGCTGCATGACTTTGAGCAAGTTGCCCTGTTTTTCTGGGCCTTGATGTCCTCATCTGTAGGATGGGAATTACATGCTCTGCAGTGTTTGCATGGGGACAAATATTATAGTGAGTGAATAAGTACAAGTTCACTGCTACGTCCTGACCTCCCAGAGTTTCTGTGAGTGAGGTCAAGGTCAGGTCTGCTTGCTCTGCAATGGCTCTAGGCCACTGTCCTCCCACAGACACATGCACCTGTGCAAGCTGGGGAGCTGTGCCCTGTCTCCTTGCCAACAACACTGCCCCCTGTCCCAGACCCCTGTCACATTTCCACTCACAGTCAGCCTCTCCAGGAAGTCAACCCCAATATCATCCCCAGCTGGCATTCTCTGTGATGGGAGACAGCTCCCCAACCCTGTCTTTAGTGTCAGGTTGTTCCCCAGGATAGGACCACCTGTTTCCTCAGACAAGAG